TACATAGCTATGTCTAGTTTTTATGTTGGATAGCAATACTTTTGGAGTTAATGAAATCTTTCGATCACCTACAGATTACTTGATAAGAAAACATCCTATTCTTTAATGCTATACAGGCAGAAATTTAATCATTCTCAGGATAGTATTAGAAATGCAATAAATTTTAAATGTTATATTTAACAAAAGCATTTACTTCTTGTAAATTAGTTTAGTGGTAATAATTTCCAAGAAAAGAAACCATCAGTACCCCTACAGATAGAGAGACTGAAAATTTTTTTGTGTTTCAGAAACTCCCAATTTAAATATGATAAAAATAGACATAGTAGGAAAAAGAAGGAGATCCTTATGCAGCAGAATAAACTAAGTCTGCAAATGAATTCTATTTTATTAGTCTTGATTCTTGATAGTTCAAACCTTCCCCTGTCGGTCTGAAGACGATGGAGCAGTGGCTGAGCTCAAGCTGTATTTACACTGACTGGCCAGGATGTTTGTGTTAACTGTCTGATTGCTGCTGCTCCACACACCAAAGAGGCCAAGTTGTGCTTTTCTTTCCCATGAATCTCCCTCTCTTTTCTTTGCTCAGGCTCTAATTTCTCAAATTTGTGAGTACATCTTATCTTTGATGCTTCAACCTCTCTTTAACATTGATTTGATGCTCAAAAATTATCAGAGAAAGATTACCAAGAGAAAAAAACACCAGGTCACTTCCCTCCTCCCTGCCCTGAGCCCCACCATGGCAGGCAAAATTATTTCATGCTCATGGAGCATTTTGTAATGGAGTACAAGAGCGACATCCTTTTGGAGAAGCCTAGTGCAGGGAAATGGCAGATTTTGCCTCGATATGTACACTGAAAAATTATGCTAAGGGATAAAAAATGATATATAGCAGGAGAAGGATGCAGTGAGCATATTTGTTACAGCAGCCTGAACATACTGAAGAAGATGCATGCAGTGAGGGGTAGAGGTGGATGATAGATCTGCCTGTCAGGATAAATATAAGAAGGTTGGGAAGATATATCTAGATTTTCTCTGCCTCTGCACTAGGGTCTTGGACAGGGGATTTGGGAAATAAATCCAGGATCCAAAAGCCCTGAGTAAGTGGAGCCAGAGAGATTTAGAGTGTCACAAGGGATGCGACTATTGTTACTCCCCACTTAAATAAATTAACACTGAGAGTGTATTCCAACTAAAGTAGCCCCTGAACCTCTCTTCACCAATGATTCATGCTTTAATCACTTCAGAGCCTGCAGGAATTTAAAGGCCAGCTCAGAACATTTACCCTGCTATTTATAGTAAGTACAGAAGTATCTGTGCATTGTGGTCAGAAAAAAGTCTCAGTATAATCCAGATGTCAAACATTTAAAGAAGTAATAAAAAGCATGGAGAACTGCAAAACAGAAAAAAGAAAAGAGAAGTTGTGCTAGAAATGACATAAATGCACTAAAAGTGTAAGCTTGTTAAGATTTCTGAAAAAGTCAGATCAGTAAAGGAATAGAGTTAATAGAGGGGAAAATATGTAAATAAATATTTTGTATAAGCAAAAGAACAATTATTCAAGAAGAACATTTTAAGAGGTGAAAACATAAAAAGAAAACAAGTCATGAAGACAATACATCTCAAGACAGAATTACATGAGAATTCAGTCAGGCAATAAATAGGATTGTCAAGTAACAGTAAGAGCTGAAAGTGAACCAGAAGCAGAGAAGGGACATTTTGTACTCATCTCTGCTACCCACAGAGATCCAAACATCCCAGACATGATGGATGAAGGGGACAGCTTGAAAGAGAGACTAGATACCAGTATCACCATATTTACCCTTTTATTAGCAGATATAGTTATGCAAATAGAGAACAACTGGGCTCTAACAGATTAGCACTGGACACTCTGCGAGTTAATATAGCAAATATATAGCAAAAATATAACAAAAGTGAGAGTAGCAACTGTGCAATGATATATATTTAATGCAAGTAAGGATTTTGCATGTGTGTGTGTGGACACAGGTAGGCTGCTGGAAGAACCACAAAACCATGGCTGAAATAAAAAGAGAAAATTTATTTCATTACCTTGCTAACTGGAGGATCCCAGCTCAATCCATGCTGGTGGGCATCAGGATTGCTGTTTGCCCCAATTTATCAAGGGCCCACACATGCATAGTTTACCATCATGCTGTGATCTCCCCTGAGCTTTTTAATGATCTTTAAGCTTTAATCTTTCCTGAAACAGGGAGCTCAAACATGTCCATGAGACTGCCTCAAAGTCTCTCAAAACACCTACATTATCTCTACACTGAAATCTTCTCAAAACAGAGACAGAATAAGCAGCAGTAGGCACAATATATGGGGTTTCCCACACTGTTATTCTCCAGGCTTTGGCATTCCCAGCTTCAAGGTCACTTGAGCAAATCTACCATCCTCCTCCTCATTTCCCCACTTTTAACCCTTTCCTCCCAACACTGTGTTAATTAAGTAGCAGAACAGTTTGGGGTATGCTAAATTGGACTGTGTTTGGATGGGATGATTGGGACAGTTTGACAGCTGACCATATGGATGTTGTTGTAAAACATTTGTGAGGTGGGTTTTTACAAAATCAATACTTATCTTAAAAATACTTAAAAAATCAGACCCTACTGGTAATGTTACTGTGGGAGTGATGAAAATATACTTTAAAAAAAAGTAGCCAAAATGCTATAGTGAGAAGTATTACTATCTGTAGGTCTCAATAAATGCATCAGTAAGAAGGTTTGAAGTACTAAATTTGGGGAGTTTTATCAAGGTGATAAATTTTCACTTTTTTTTCCCTATTTTCTTTTCCCAATATTTTTTGGTGTGTGTGATAAGGTAAGGTCTTGCATTGTAAGATTCATTTAAGTCTAGTAATATAGTATTTAAGTCTAGTAATATAGATGTTAATTTTGATTCTTAATTTCTGCTGAAGTAATCTTATGATATTTTGCAATACTCTTAGTGTTATTAGTTAAGTGAACTTCAAAAAAGCTAAACAGGATAGATTTCACCTAATTACAGACAATTTCAAGATCAATATTCAGCAATAAATGAAAAAAAATAGAAGTAAAACAGCAGACATAGACATAGCTGCTGAGTTGTTAAAAATCAGCAGGACGTGGTTCAGTAGAAATAGTGATGGCCAGCAAACTGCATACCATGATTTCAAAAGGTGTAGTACTGTTTATGTGCCAAACCCTAAAACATGAATGGAAATTTAATTAAAATGAAAAGTATCGTTGTTTTCTGCTGTACTCTTTGGAATTGTCACACTTCTCCCCCTCCAGTCGAGGCCAGGTACAGCACTCTAAACAAATGTGGGAACCTGACCAAACTCCTTGACCTGCCCTGCCCTGGATGGAGCACTGTCAGTCTCTGGGTATTAACACACTGGTCAAAGGCAAAACCTGATTTCTTGCAAATACTAGGTGGATTTTGGCAGATGCACTCCTACTCCTGAGCAACTCATGTTGCAGCCAGGTGGAGAGGGGAAGAAACTGTGTGGCACGAGCAGTGTCTATTTGAAAAAAAAGTTGCTTTGTATTAAGGTTGCTTTATATACATATATACATATAAAGATATGAACTTGCTTTGGGTTAAATATATTATAAAATTATTACTATATCAAAATATATCAATAGCATGTTTTTTTCCTGGAAAACTACAGAGCAGTCCTGGAGATTGAAGCTTGACTCTCTATCCTGTTAAAATGTTCCCATGGTTCCTTGGCAGAGTTTGGCCCAGACCAAAGAGCACACTTCACAGTCTGAGAGTTAGCACAAGCACATCAATATCCTCTGTAGGCAATGTGGATGTGGCCACCTTATTTTGAAGGATGGAGTGGACTATCCTGCATCAGCTGAGCTCAGCACCTTGTTTAATCTTCTAGTACAGAAGCAGTCTGCAGCTGCAGGCTGGCTGCCAGTCGCAGTGTTTGTTAAAGCTGCAGTCGGATTACTTCAGAATGTCTCAGGTGTTGCCCACGAACACAAGACCAGTGGGTGTCCTGGTCCATGATCATTTCATTGCTCTGAAGAACTTGCCAGCATAACCTACTGATTTTCCTCACTTTGTGAGCACAAACTATATGTCAGTTCTGATTTCCCACCCCTTAACACTCTGAATTTGTTGCAAGATCATTAACTAACTTTTCGGGTAGGGGAAAAAATTAGCGAGTAAGTGGCATTTTGTGGCAGGGACATAAAACATAACATAACCAACCCCCGCTGCAGCAAAAATGG